TTCCCTTTAAATGAGCTCGCTGGCTGGGCCCTGAACAATACGGGCATGGTCATCCTATGTTTCATGCTTCCTACCTTTATTGCTGCTTTAGCTTTTCTGCCCTTTCCGTGTCCAGTGCCTCAAACTATCACTATTTTTTTTTCCTGCCACCACTGTCGCTTTCTTTTCTTTAATTAGTCACTGCATTCTGGTTCTTCTGGTTCTTCTATTTCTTCCTGCTTCATTTTTGGTAGGGAGGAGTAACTTCTGACCTTCACTCAATGACACCCAAAATAATTTCTAAATACGCTCCTGCTCCGCAACAGTCCTGAGTAATCCTGAACCTGCCTGAGACAGGCTTTGGGAAGCGATCTCGTCAGTACGGTGCCCTCGTAGAGCGTCCCTCCTGTGCCATGCTGTAAGTCTGCAAGCAAAGCAGAAACATAGCTATCCTCTGAAGCGCCAAGAGCTACAGTTCCCCTTGAGTCGAACCAGGACAGTGCGTCACGTCTTGGTAACCATTTCCCTAGATCTAGTGCATGTAGCAGAGCATCACTGAATGCGGGGGAAGTTTGGGTCTGGATTTTAACACTGTTTGTTGTTTGGCTCCATTGGGGGAATATGTCTCCGCAGTTCATTTGTCTTCCTTTGGTTTTTTTCTGGATGTTGTTGTCGTAACATAGATTTCAACTGTTGATGTCTTAAGAATTTAAAGCTGGGCTGTTCATCTATTTGCCCTAATAAACGTTACTGCTGTGCCATGCAAGAGACCTGACTTTGCTGCCAGGCCATCAGCAGCTGAAAGCCTCTTTTTTCCTTAAAAATTAATCAATTTGCATTAGAAAATAAACCATCCAGCCATACTAAAAAAAAACTTATAAAATTGGGTCCTTACTGCAGCTGGCAATGACATTTTAAATATGCTAGGCCTAAGATGAAAATTTTTTTGCTTTCCTTGGACATTTTGGCATACCTAAAGGCATGTGACTTTGTAAAACCACTGCTTTACACTATGCCTGGTCACAAATGCCATCATCTTCTGGAGGTACTGATATGCTTCTGTAGTGCAGAGTGCAGTATATAAAGAGAAATCACCATTTAAAAATAATCCCACTCACGGAAGAAGCTTGGAAAGAAGATTTGTTTTCTCAGCAAGCCAGTAACCCAAAGCATACAACAAAATGTGTACAAACCCCGAGAATAAAAGCATCAAGTGTTTAGTGCCTTGGCACATTAACCAAGCTGATTTGAATCCAGCAAAAAGAAGTTGGAATTAATTATTCTTATGTATAGGCTTTTGTACATTTTCTGCATCTCAGGGTTGTCTCTGGTAAAGAGAGTGGGAACCCTAGGAACTTCACGTTGCAGTGGAAGAGGTACCGAAAGATGCTAGATTCCTGATGTACTTTGGAGACCCTGGATGAAGTTACAATGTCACTGAGTTTTATTTTTATCATTCCGCACCACGCCCCCTCTGTTCCAGCTGTGATTTTTCCATCCCTGGACAGATGAGTCAGAAGAATGGAGGAAAAAAGGATCTGACCTTTTTTGAAGGCTACCTAAGTTGTTGCTGGGCTTGTTATTGCTTGTGTAACGTGTGGCATGTAAGAGTCCGGTGATTTCTGGGAACTGTGCAAACCACTGCATATGTGCCCTGTGAACGTCTGGGATTGCAACAAACAGCAACCACATCTGGAACACCACAAGTAGAGATATCACATATATGGGAACCCCAGACAAGTGTTGAACTGCCTCTAAATTCATCTGGGCAAAATTCCTGCGCAGTTGGAGAAAGCACATCCAGGAAAATCGGACATATGGTAGGCTTCCCGCTCACCAGCAGAGCTCTGCTGGCCAAAGTCCTAGAAAGCATGCTGGTAGAGCACAGAAATATCCTTTGCTGATAGAGCTTACGCCATTCAAGGAGGTGATTCAGGCTGCAACATCCAAGCCACGTTTCTGCTGATGGTGTCACCCATTTAGGGTCACCATTCTGCTAATGGTTTGACCCATTTATTTATACCAGCAAAGCTTTTAATCGCCAGATGAGAGCTAATAACAGTGAGGGAGGCTCAAAGGAAGATCTCCATGGTTTACTGCCAGTGACAGCTGGTCTCACTATCACTGACAAGAGTTGGAGATGCTGCCAATTTTTATTTCTCCAGCAATGAAGAAGGAGCCACACCCCAGCTGGAGGACCCAGGAGAGCCTTCTGGAGTAGATGAACAGCTCTGCTCAATGAGGCCAATGCATCATAAGGGGAAAAGCCGGTACAGGGAGTTTATTGGAGCCCGTATCTCTGTTCGGACTCCACCAACAGGGAAAGACAAGCTGAAGGAACCCAGAGAAAGTTGAGACCCTGTTTGAACATGGCACAGTCTTCTGTAGCTCAAGTTTATTTTTGTGAGCGGGGCTTGGACTGTCAAAGTTGCATTTATGTTTTGGTTTTTTCCCCTCTCTCAGATGACTCTAACCCTATATCTGTACTTCACAATTGCAGGTGCAAGCAGGAACTTGAATGCTGGCAGATTTTAGGAGCAGTGTGGAAATTTTGTTTCTCAGATGGGAAGATTTAAGGCCTGAACCTGTCTTCTCAAAAAGCAAAGACATTTCCCAGTGCAGGGTAGAAGCAAGTTTCAGTCCTTGCTTCCATGGCAGATATATCCAGGTGGGGGGAACCAGGCTGTACTTCAAACTCTCCTGAAGTACCTGCGAGATCCTCGTGACCTCCCCTGTGATCGGGGCCCATCTGCCCTGCAGAATGATAAAAGGGTACATCTCATCAATGCACTGCTGTCTGCATTTTTTGCAGACAGTGTAATGCATCCTCATCCTGGGGATGGAACCGTAACATGGAAGTATTTGTTTCAAGAGCTGTAACAGCACAGCAATTCAGGAGCACATCTGAGTGTGCAAGATGACTCTGCTGGAGAAGATCAAGGGCTTGGCTGTCACTGGGGCCAGGAACAGATTTAACTTAAAACGGACTTTCTCCCACTTGCAGGAAACATCTACTGCCCGCACTTCCAAAACATCTTAGTGTGCAGTCCAGGGAGACTGACAGAAAACCACTATGCAACTAATTAGAAATCCCAGTTGTGTCTTTATTCGTTCAGATCTTATTTTGACAGTAAACTTTTGTGAGTGATTCCACTGTTTATTCTCCAAATTTTCAAGCCACTGAGCATCACGATATTGCTGCAGAAGAGGATCTGAGAGCGTTATTGCTGCTTCGCTGCGCACATCGCAACCGATACGTGGGGAAGTTGAGGGACCTGGTACTAGGTCTAGTGGTGAGCTGGCTGCAGAGCTGGATGGGGATGGCCATTTCCCAGGCTGATGCTTTCATTGGTGAGAATTTCTCTGTGCTCCTGTCAAAAGCGTAAATCACGTGGGTGACGCTGGAGGTTTGGCACCCACAATTCATCATGTATTGCGGCTGCTCAGCGTCTGTGGGAAAATAATTCCAAAAGAGATCTCTTGGAAAGTGGCAGGAAAAAATAGCAAACAAAAACCCCGAGAAGTACGGAAGAGACAACAGAACAGGACTCGGGTACTCCTCGGCAATGACCTGTCCTTTGTGAAGCTCTAAGGTTGGCTCTTGAAATGTTTGACTTCGGTAAAATGGAGCTATTCCCTTTGGGGAAGTGAAGAACTGGCACAATTCTTTAGGTCTATAATAAGTGTGAATCGCTCCTTTGTGTTAAGACCAGGCACTTATGAGGCCCATGTTTCAGATCAGAGTGAAAACACCGATAAGGCTAGCTTTATAAATTGCTTTTGTTCAGCTGAGACTGCAACATCAACGGTGGTGAAAATTATACCTTCTTAACTGGGAGGTGGGAGAGCAGAGGGACACATGCTGTGCTGGTATGTAGATGCTGTTGAAAAGTTTGTCGCAATTGCCAAAAAGCATGAGTTATTTTCTTCAGTGATCCTTCTGCTTCTTTCTGTCAAATCCAAAATATGTTGTCTGCCTTGCAGCCAACGGGGTCAAACACTGAAAAAATGAACTCCTTGGGCTCCCTAAGGAGACTGTGCTATACTTAGTTGCTCATCACAGCTAATTTCTGCTGTGTGTGTGCAAGGAGGGGCAGCAGGTTCTTCTGCCTGTGAGGCACCCACGCAAGGTGCACAAAGTAGGTTAACGTTTCTGTCTCTCATTGCTGCGGCTCCCACCTGAAGTTTTGCATCCCGCTCCATTTCTAGATGCCTGATCAGTATACTGTGATTTCTATGTGCTGTGTGTTGCAGTAATAATAATACAAATAGAGAAAAGGGGTTTGCACTGTAAGCAGAAAGCTGTGCATGGCAGATAGATAGAAAATGAAACCACTGCCTGTTTTTACAAGGTAAAAATAAGAATTGCTGTGGAGGCAATGGTTCCACTGCCCGTATCCTAAAACCATATAAAAAGTATTGATATCAATTCAGTGCCATAGCTGATGGTGAAAGATACAGCTCTGTTTGTAAAGCAGTGGTCCACAGATGGCAGCTCTGCCTGCAGAGCAGAGGAAGCATTTGGGGGGTGCAGGGTAAATGTATTTTCCACATTTCAGCCCCTTCTGTAGCAGTGGCTGGGTAGATACCATTTTACAGTTCAGTGCGTGCTATCTTTAAGGAGCACTTCTGAGATGCCTCTTTTGTATCCTTGAGGACAGATAGACACATCAGTAGTTTTCCATCACCCACCTGTCCGACGTGTGATCTGAAGATGAAAAATACCACCTTTCAGCCATGTTGCCCTATAGTCACCTGGGCAAAGAGATCTTTTCACCCTTAAGCAATGAGGTTTCCTTCTCCTCCATGTGTTGGAGCAGCTCAAGAACAAACTCAGCCATACTCCGGCTGTAGTACCTGTGAATGGTGACTTTACCTGCATGACTTCCTAGCCTCCTTGTTGGACAGCATGCTCACCCATGGGAGCCGGGTTGAGTGTACCAGGGAAGTGGCCTGGGATTGGCTGGTTGGGATGGGACTTCTTTGCTTTCCTATTCCAACAGCTTTTTTTGCTCTCCTAGGGACCAGAAGGGAAACCAGGAAAACAGGGGGAAAAGGGCAAGCCTGGCCAGAAGGTAGGAACATTGCCTGTTGATAACATCTCTTCCTCTGGATCTCCCTTTCTTTGCTCATCTTTGATATTTATCTGTAGAAGCAGTTTTGTCCTACGCTAATGTCAGTGCTTTTGTTCTGCAGGGCAGCAAGGGCTACCAGGGGCAGCTCGGCGAGACAGGATCTCCAGGGAAGGAGGGGCCGAAGGGGAACCAAGGCCCTAAAGGATCCCGAGGTACCCTGGGACCTATGGTGAGAAGAGCTCTGCAAATGGTTGAACACAACACACAGAAACGTGACTAGCAGTGGTGGGCACAGGCCTGAATGAAGCAGACAGCCCAACAGAGGCTTCAGGGCACAGAAAGTGAAATGATGTTAGATGGGTTTAATTGACCCAAACAGCTTAACACTTGCTCTGAGCAGCACAGGAGAGACTCCATAGTGGTGATTGTGTTGGTGGCCCGTGAGCCAAGCTCACATTGCATCGTGGTGGTTCTTCACAACTCCCCAGATGGGCTGAAATATTGGGAATTTTTCTTGAGAGTGAGCTGATAAGCTATTTTTTGCAAAGATCTTTCCCTTTGAGACTGCACACTCATGGCAAGAGCTGCTTCCAAGTCAAACTGTGTTGTTGTAAGGAACTCTGCCTTGGACTTCTGCCCTGTTTCTACACCCACTCTTGATCTACTTATCTAAAACACTTGTAGCAAGAAGAAATATAGTACGGGAAAGGGTTTGAATTGGGGATTGAAGGTGAGGCTTTCAGAGAGAATAACAATAGTATGGCAGAGAGGGAAGAAAGTTAATTTGCTTTACACACATGAGGCAAATGTATTGGGACAGCAGCAGTAAGTAATAAGTACCTCCTCATGCATGGCAGGCTGGTAAGGAAACTTCTTGCACTATATTTGGTAGAACTTAGTGAAAAAGCAGGAGTTATTTATTAACTGGGAATCACAGTGGTGTTTCAGAACAGTAGCCAATGAGTGATGGAGTAATGGTTCCACTGATAGTGTTTTCCTGCACTAAAAATTATGGCCTCCCCATATATCCTCCCTTCATATTCCTTGGCAAAGCCTCCATGGACTATTTCACAAAGAAGCAAAGCAATATCTGAGCAGCAGTCTACTCGACTGAACACATTTCTGTTTTGTGGAAAGGGCTTTCTTCCACGCTAAATAGGATTATATGGAAAGTTTGCAATTCACTTTAATCTGGTGATCTGATTTAAACCCTTTTGTTTAGTCTGCTAAAGATGTAATAAACAGCTCTTGCAGTGCCCCCATCACAACCCAGAAAACTCCTTTCTTGGCCTCAGAACCCACACCATAAGATTTCCTCCCAACAGTTTAGGATTAGATCATGCATGAGAACAGTCTCGCTGGTGGATTTCCTAGCACAAAGCTAATTTGGATATAAAGACATCCAGAAGCATCACTCTCCATGTGTAAGAGGTTAAAGCCAAGCAAGAGCACCTCAGATGGCTGCAGCAAAGCTCACTGGTGGCCAGGAGAATGGGTGGCTGCATTCCCATGTGGTACTGAGCTTTGCTTTGCATAGCCCAGTCATCCTCTTCTTGTGGGGTAATACCCATGGGCTACTCTCACGGTGCTGTCTGTGCTTGCCTCTCCAGGGTGCTCCAGGAAGAATGGGTGCTCAAGGGGAACCTGGCTTAAAGGGTTACCAGGTAAGAATTTTATTTTCATCCTCTAGCTTCTATCTGTTCTCAAATGCAAAAAAACCTGCCATTCCAGGATGCAAAATCATTCTTAAACTATGATTTATTTCTGATCTTGAGTTCAGTTTAGTTCTTTCTCTAGTCTTCATTAGCACCATCATGACTTCTCCAGATGCATTTGGTTCATCTCTGCCATGACCCATGTGTCCCTCCGAACCTGGGATGCACAACACAGGGCCTGCGGGATCTGGCAGGAAACCAGAGAGGACCTTCAGTCAAACAGCTCTTTCTTGTCTCCTCACACGCTGTCTGCTCTCCGCAGGGACATGCAGGACCACCAGGGCCAATTGGACCACCAGGGCCAAAGGGGGAAAAGGTAAGTTCGCGGATTTTAACCATCTTGTCTTCCTTTGGCATGGAAGCTGAGCTGAGGTAGAGATGATTGCCCCGCCGCCATAACATCTGTGCATCTGCGCTCTCCTCCTCTACCTGCAGCAGAGGCAGAGATGCCTCCTTTACGGCATGGCTACCTATGTAAGTCCTGCTGCAGCTTTACTTCTGTAAATCAGCACTGGGACACCCGTGCCACTAACACGTGCTTTCCAGACACCACATGCCCTTGTGCCAGTGCCTGAGCCAGCCGGCATGCATCCTGGGGACACGTTTTTCCCGTATCTGCAGAAATTCTGCTCAATCCCCAAGCCGAAAGAAATCAGACTAGTAGCTTTCTGTGACCGAGTCAGAATAACACCCTGTACAAACTAGCTGATCTCCAGCAACCTGCCCATCTGTGCTTAAATCAGCCGACTGCGTGTTGTAAGTGAGGTAGAACTGGTCTGCTCTCCATTGCCCTTGCTCCATTTTCCTCATCACCTGCCACCCCCTCACCTCGCTCATCCCCCCCCACCCCTCGATGAGCCCCCTTGTCGCAGCTGGCCTGAGTCAGAGCCCTCTTCCCACAGCAGCTTTCCCCTTGTGTTTTTCCCCTTTTGCTGAGTCAGCATGGCCATAACCAGTTCAGGCTGGAGAAGTGACTCACGCTTTAATGGTTTCCTGTCGGCAGAGCTGGCTGCTCCACGCTCCGAGGATGGCCCAGCTGGCGTTGGCTGTACTCGCAGTGCCGCTGGAGCCCCTCACGTGCCTTCAGTAGCGGCAGCAATGCTCCCTCCCTCGGTGTGGGAAGAAAAGTGATGGTGATTGGGACTGGTCAGTCGTGGGGTCCCCATGAAGAGGAAAGATGCGTGAACACTTTTCGCTCATTTTCCACTCCCCATTGCCTAGAGAGCTTTCGGCTTTCCTTCTGCACACAGGTGCGATTGCAGCTGTACGTGTCCAAGCAGGAGCTTCATTGCTTGTAAAAGGAGTTTGTGGGACAGAGATCCCAAGAGCTTGTCTTTGCTGGGGCTTTGAATGTGTCCTTTCAGCTCAGGTTGCTGGGTGTCAGGACACCCTGTTCACGCTGCTCTCTGTGCTCTGCCTGGAGACTTCTTGTGCAGCAGTGAATCTCTGTGCCGGTGGCCAGGAGTCAGTGGGGTAGGGTGAACAGTTGTGTTCCACTAAGATATTCACATGCCTCAGAAATTTTGCTTGGGGGATGAACAGTGGTCATGCTGCCTTTTCTCTCATTTCCTGCTGCTGAAACACATCCGTGGAGGAACAGCTGGTGATGTTCCTGCTGCTCCGCATCTCCATCACTGCCTTGCTGAACTTCCTCTCCACCCCCAGCCTTTCTAACGCTGCCCCATCCACTTCCTGAGCTGCACCCCTTGCTCTTCCGAACTTCAGCGGCATTCCTCCTCAGGTGTATTATGCTGAGTGTCCATGCGGGAAGTGGCAAGTATTAACCAAGCACAACCAGCGCAGGATAATAATGCAACAGCTCGTGACCATGCACGTTGTCAGTTGAGAGCCTGGCGAGAGGTTTCTCACAGTTCAACCATTGAAACTTGAGCATCCTGGTAAAAAGTTGTGAGTTGTGACTGCCAAAAGCTAGATCAGCCATTGGCCTTACAGCAGAAGGAGTAAGAGACGTACAGATATGTATCACTGTTGTTTAAATTGCGGCTGTTGTTTTATTTTAAAATGTTGAAAGTTGCCATCTTCTTGAAAGCTCCCATCGTTTCAGTAGTAAATGGCCCTCAAATTATTTGTATGAAGCACTCAGTGTAGCACTCTCCTCTTCACCAACAAAATATTCTTCTGCAAATGGACACTAGAAGAGCACTCCCTCAGACATAACATGGATCTTTTGTCATCAGAGCACAGCAACACTGACGATAAAATGGATTCTACGTGCAAGTACCTAAGCTGAAGCCTGACAAAGACACCAAAGCATCTAATGCGTCCTGCTGAGAACAGTCAGATCTGTTACTGAGCGTTGACAGCCGGATCTCACTCACATCTTCCTGGAAGGTCAGTGGGTCTGCTGTCACCTTGTGGAGGAGCAGCTCCAGTGAACGAGGAGAGCACAGCATCGCACACTGAGCCTCCAGCACCATTTCCTGCAGCATTCAGGTGCTCCGCAAAAGTCTTGCATCTAGGTTTTCTTATCCATCATTCCTCCTTATCTCCGAAGAGTTGCCTGAATCCCAGCCTAAGGATAGACAGATTCCTTCCCTCTGGAGATCTGTAACCTCATGCACACGTGCAAACGTGAAAATGGAAGCCTGAATCTGAGAAAAGAAGAGGAAACGAAAATGGGACCGTGACTGCTCTGTGAGCTTTAAACAATGTGGTAAACTTAACTGTGCTGAAGAAGGAGGATATATAACGATGGGGAAGTTCTTTCCTCTTCCAGAGAAGAAAGCAGCTTGGTGAGAGGCATTACTGTGGAATAGAGCTCCCTTGTGCCATACCAGCCAGCTACTCCGCCGCATTTAATACATTTACAGCTCCTCAAAGAGGCCTTGCTCAGAGCAGACGCCTGCATTTGGCAGCTGCTTAAAGCAGTCCAGATGGGATCCTTTTAAAAATTACAAACTGGTGTATCTCACTTTGGGACAGGAGCCAACAACAACAAGCCTTCCCTTCTTCTCCATGCATTTTCCATTTGTATCCCAACATGTTTACTTTGCTGCCCTTTACTCTAACTTTTTTTCACTGCAACTTTCCAAAGAATTAGCACAGACCTTTCATGTCCCTCTTGAGCAGCTGAGGCATCAGGAAGTCCTGGAGGAGCTCAGTCTCGCAGTCCTAGAGCTGACCAGGCTGCAGGATTTTCTCAGAAGACAAAGGACAAGGTGAGAATTAGACTTAAGGGGACACAAAGCCACAACTCGGCTTTGGGGAGAAAGTCTGTGAGTCTTGATGCTCTTCAAGGGCCCCAAGAATTATGAGATTTCTTTGAGTTCATCACGCTCATTTCAGCTCCCAAATGGCAAGGTGCTCACATCCTGTTTGGGAAGAAGCAGTCAGTGCCAAGACTTCTGCATAGTAACACATATACTGGGATTTTATTTTTTTTTCCCTGAGACTTGCGAAATGGTGGCTTTGTTTCTCTTCTAGCCTGCATTCCTTTGATAGTGGCTAGAAAGCAAACCAGTTGCCAGATATTCTGCTGCTAACTTCAACCAGCCAGTTCAGTAGCTCCGGAAACTGTTGGCAGAGCCTGTTAGGCGTTACTTTCCTTTCTCTCTACTCTGCCACCCAGATTTCTCTATCCATATTGCTCAGTACTATATTCTCAAGCCATCCTGGCACAGTTTCTCCCTATGTATTCCTTCTACCATGATATCTCCCCAAAACCCCGGACAAGTATGCTGGAGTTCCCCACCCAGCACATGATTTCTTAAGGACAGTATAACCATAACCTGTGAGTATATTTGAAACCCTGGCAACATTCATCTAATACATGTCACAGCACCAGAGAAAGAAAAGAAAATGCCACTGTCATCAAGCATGTAATGGAGAGAGATGCACTGAGCTCTTTGCTACCTGTTGAGGTTACCTGCAAGAGGTTTTGCCAAATCATGAGCCTCATTCTGTCAAGCTGTAAATGTCAGTACTGGTGCTCAGCCCATGAGAAGTCAGTGTGGGTCAGCGTGTCTCTCTCAGCAGTGGCACAGCCCTGATTCCAAGCCATGACCCAGTTCCTACAGAAAAGAAGCTATTGGTTCCACTATCTGAGTTTTTTCACTGAAGGTTATTTACTGCTCCCAGTGTGTCATTACCAAACATCACATACAAGGAAAGCACCCCAAATATCTTCTCCCAGAGACAGCATCACTGAGAAAATGCCCAAGCACCCTTACTATCAGCAGCTGCAACTCAAACAGAAGACGATAGTAACCCAGAAAGAAAGTCAAAGACAGTCGTAAATACACCAGAAAGGGCTGATGCAACCACTGAGAATTGCAGAAGTCTGTGGAAAACTTGGCTCTGCATAGCTATGGAGATTTGGATGTTCAAGGCTCTAGGAACACCCCAAGCACTCTAAACACAGCAGCTCCACTGTGCCAGAACCCCCCAGACCTCCTCTCTCCAGTAGCTGCAACATCAAAGGAGCTCTGAGACATGTTCATCCTAAGGAGCCAGAATGCCAGAGACTCAGTGATTTGAAGTAGCCAAAAACTGGAGGAGCTGGAATGTATCTATTTTCTATGGGGAACAAAGAAACAGCCGTCTCTGAGACTCCAGACAAAATAGGACACCATGACCCTGAGCAACTTAGACAACAGAATTAAAAAGATAGTGTCTGTGTTAAGTCTTGAGGGATCTCTCTGTGGATGTTTTAGAGAGGCCTCAGTTATAAACAATCCGAGTGATGTTATCTGCCAGCCAAACCATGAGCTCTGAGCTCTTGCTGTGGAGCATCCCATCAAAAAGTGGAGCGGCTCACGCAGCAAGTATGTAAGGGTCTGGTCCTCTCACCTGATCAATTGTAAGAAAGAGAAGCCCACAATGGTGGCACACAACCAGGGACCCCATCCAGACCACCCTTGTTCCCATGACAGCCCAGGCAGCACTCAATGAGGGTGGGGAAATGCTTGATTAAAGAGTTTGGTCTGACTGTCAGCAATAAAATTCAGAGGCAGAGAACTATTTCCCATATTGTCGTAATTACATGCTTCTTGCTTAGCTTTAGGAATTGTTGAAAATAACCCTTTGCACCTGGTTCCTTAGGGAAGATGGTTAGACCAGGCAGAAACAACCACCAGAGAACCAGGAAAGTAATGCGAAGAGTCAGTGTAATCCAGGTTGTGAAGGAAAAAAAAAAAAAAAAATTGTTTAGACTTTCTTTGGATGAAAAGTTAATAAATTCAACAGAGGCTTTGACTTAGGACACCATGATATGGGAGGACTGGATTGGGTCTGTACCAAAGCATCTGCAATATAATTTTCTGTCTATATTAATACTAGTATTTTTATTCACAGGGAGAACAAGGTGATGATGGGAAGGTAGAAGGCCCACGAGGACCACCTGGAGACAGAGTAAGATGTTAAATCTCTTCTCTAATCAATCCTGGCCTGATTTTTGCAGGTGGATTAGTTGGGTTGCTTCCTTACTTGTAGAACACGCACAAGCCATTGAGATATTGCGGATAACAAATTGACCTTAAGTCTTTGGGTTTTTTGTTGTAGGGCCCCATTGGTGACAGAGGTGATCGAGGGGAGCCTGGAGACCCTGGTTATCCTGTGAGTCTTATTGCAAATACATGATTCAGAGATGTTTGTCTTGGGGAAGTGCTTCCAATCTGCATCAGCCCACAGAAGGTCTACCCTTTGCCCAGTAGACATTATTAATAACCCACTGTGGTCCCTTGTCAACTGCTGCATGTGGCTGTGTTTCAAACAAGGAGTAATTCAGGTACCTTTGCCTAAAGTGGTAAAAATTTTGCTGAAGGCAAATGTAGGTCCTGCAGGTCAGCATCTCATAATGCTGTGCACCTGCCTGAGCACACTAGACTGAAAGAATGCGCAGGACTGCCTCATCAGAGGTATTTATGATTATCAAGGAAATACTCTGGGAAAGATGTGTACAAGAGAGGTCACGTCAATGCTGGACAAAATTCAAGAATTATGTGCCCATGGCTGATCTTTCATGGGAAGATCTCTGTTGACTTGAAGGTTAGGAAGCTTCCAAAAGCTTATCAGAATTTCTCTCAAAAGCATGACCAGGGTTATGAATTATTCCCCTGTGCTCCTGATGCCCTTTTCATGGGACATCTCCAGCTGATTGGTGTTGATCTGCAAAGGCTCTATGGACTAAGTCTTACCTCCATCCAAAAGGAGCTGCTCAGAGTGACCCATTACAGTAATGTACAGAAGAGTTCAAATTCACCAGGGTAGCAATGCTGCTGCCTTATTTTGTAGCACAGCAGTCTCCAACTGTTCACTTACATTAGCGCTGTGTGTATTTAGGGATGCATTAGAAAGCCTTCTTTACTGCTTAGATGGTGATTAGCAGTTCCTCTTAGCTATTTCTTCCCAATGCATATCCATGGGAGCATGTACACTACCCGCAAGCTTCAACATTTCTATATTAGCAGAATGCAGATATGTACATCTTCTCCTGCCCCATGCAGAATGTTACATCTGGTTTTGTTTCCTATTGCCAAAAAAGTACCCAAGAACAAACACATGTTCCCTCTCTGTTTTTTATTTAAGGGTCAAGAAGGGCTCGATGGAGAAAGAGGAAAACCTGGACAGCAAGGCTTACCTGTAAGAGATGCTGCTTTATTGTAAGCTACCCAATGTCACATGCATGTGAAAAACAGATGCGAAAAGGAAGGAAGGTAGGAAGGGCTGCAGCGAGGAATGTGTGGTGAGCTGTGAAATGCAACGTGTGAATTTCCATAAGCCAGGCAGGCCTATAGAATGGGCATTTTGAGTCACACGTTGAGATTAATGAATGGGTGACAGAACAGGGGGCACTCCCAGGAGCCTGTCTCCAGAAATGTCTTTTCTGAACAATCCAAGAGGGACTAGAAATCTTAGGAGATGGGTAGTGGGAGATGATAATGACAGTGGAAGGGTCCGCTTGGAAATGATACATTTGGTATGCTGCTGGTGAGAGCTGCTGTATTGTGAGGTAAGACCATGTTATTCTGCCTGCATGGTGTTTCCTCTCAAACCACAGCATTTATGAAAGACTAAATTATATCCAAATTTAAGGGAAGGACTTTTTATTCCCTTGCTATATACGGCAGCATCGAATTTGTATATGTGACTATTGCAACTGTGAGTGCAGCAGCATGTTAAATGTAGTTCATATTGGGAAATAAGGTTGAATCAACTCCCATTCTTTGTAGGGCTCCTGGGAAGAACAACAGTTTCTATTTTGGGGTAAAATCTTACTGCTCTGTCATATGGCCTAGAAATGGATAGAGCTGCTGCATTTCCCAGTGGATGTAGTTTATTCTGAGGGGTGGCAGCCCCTCAGATGTCAGTGTTTCAGGTGGAAGCAGGAGCTTAAGATTGTCTTTAGTAAAAAGCCATTAGAACCACGTGGCTCAGAAACGAGCTGAAGAAGGAGAGCTCCGCAGATGTGTCTTTACTTACCATTTCTTTGATATTAGACCAGAAATTGCCCCTGACACAAATACCCACAAAAAAATCCTGGATGGCCAGAAGAAAAGATGGAGACGTGTGTGATGGGGAAGACATCAGTAAGAGAGTAGCGAAATACCCTCTCTGCTTTACTCCTCCATAGGTAGCTCTCTAATATCTGACATCCAGGCGAAACCAAGGGAAGGGCTGCAGCATGCAAAAGGGAGGTAGTACCAACACTAAAGATGTAGTCCCTGTATAAACTACTCATTCTGCACGTAGCTTCTGCAGTACCTTTCTCAAAACAGGCTCCTTCCTGCCCACTTCCCAGCACTGTTTTCCAGGCGCCATCTGGAATTTAGTGAATGATTTCCGTGAATGCAAACACCACCCAAGTGAGGGGGTAGCATTGCTTCTTCTCCAATTGACACCCTGTTAAATGCTCTCTGGAGACAGTTCCTTGCTCCTTTTTCCCCAGGAGGCCTGTCTGAGCACAGGCTGTTCCCCTGAATTGTTTCCATACGGTCAGCGTTGTTAGGGCACAAAAAATGCTGTTCTTTGTACTTCATGCAGGATACTGCCAGAAGAGAATTTCAAGCAGATTTTTCTTGCTTATGTTTTGTAGGGGGATCCTGGACCACCAGGCCAGCCAGGAGCAAAGGGATCCAAAGGTGATGTGGTAGGTTTCAGCAGGGTAGATTTATAGTGTCCCAAGTTTAAAGAAAATGTCTAATTAAGGGGACTCATGTTTTTCCCCAGCATGTATGATTTGGCCTATGGTCTACGCCTTGAAAGACTGTGGAGAACCTGGTGGGAGGGCTGTAAACATGCATTTGAGTGTCCAAGCCCAATAGTTTGTTGGCTTTGTGAAGCCGGAGATCAAGACAATTACAGCTCCAGCATGATGGGTGAATCTTGGGCAGGTCTTTAGTCATTGCCATGGGTTGTGTCTCTTTCCTATACCCCTGTTTGTGGTGCTTCCAGCCACAGCTGGCTCCTCTGTCCCTAAGGAGGTCTGAGCCAGGCAAGTGTCTCTCTCTTTCACTTGAACCGTAAACTTTTCTGGCTTGAAACCTTCCAGATTTGGAGTCCAGTTATCCATGCAGTTACATTTCTTGGAAGAGTCCCTCTAACTTCTTGCCCTTATTGAGCAAGAAAACACAGCACACATGGGTCCTTCAACATTCTTTGGGGTACCTCATACCTACTCCTACCTCCACATCTGGCTGTAAGGACCGCTTGCTAATTATTCTCACAGATCAGGGACTTTATTTGCTAAAACATAAGAATGTGACCTCAATACTCAGCAAATTCCTGCTCCCTTTTGGCAGATGTCAGGATTTTTAATCTGACCCTGCTGGGGTAATGCCAGAAGATAGTTTAACCTACAGTAGGTGTTCTTGGCAAAAAGCATACCAGGCGATAAGATAAATAAACTCTACCCATCGATGGACAATCTGGAACTGCCTTTGGGTCTAATGAATAGCGGAGAAAGCACCCCCAGGAGTATTTCTTTCATGTAGCTCGCCTGCCTGGTCCCTGCAGATGGAGAAACAATGCACAGAAAATGCAACGCTTCGATTTAAAAGTGCATTAGTACATGACCTCACTAAGAGAGCCTTAGTGAAGGTGATGAGGCTGAGTTTTCCATTCATTCTGCAGAAATTAATCCTTTTTACAGCTAATAAACCTCAGGAGTATTTCTTTTACATTTTTATTCACAAAGCAGCATTGCGAATTTTAGACACAAGATACCCTTTCCATTTCCATTAACTTTCCAAAATAGTAGGAGCTACCTCACAGCAAAAAGCTCTTGCTGAATGCCCTGCAGAAGACTTGCTGGGTCCTTGGTTTGGCACTGTGCTGTCAGTGAACTGACAGAGGACGCAGGTTTTAAGCATCTTGTTCTAATGTTTGCCAGTGCACTGAGTCCTCCCTTGAGTTCATCCTGCTTTATTTGTCCTCATCTGCTCTATATTAGGAAAAATGTAGGTCCTTGCCTTCTAGCTATTCATTCCTGCCCCAGAACTCTCAAGACATACGAAGAATCACTTGTAATAAAACCAAATAGCAGTTCATTCCCCAGTGTTGGAGCAACTGACTTTATAAATCTCCTTTTTATAAAACTCTTTCCAACTATTATCCAAAAGCACACCCTGAAGTCAAGCTCCCAAGTGGAGTTGTGCTAGAACTGCTGCAATTTTAGATGTCTGTCTTTTTTTTTACTTGCAGGGTCAAAAAGGAAAGCAAGGAACACGGGGCAATGCAGGGAGCAGAGGCTCACCGGTAGGTAAAAATTCAATTTTCTGCCCCAGCAAATGCTGCCTGGGAGCTCCATTGCTAACACCTTTGTGATTTTAGGGCATCCTTGGGCTACCAGGTCCTCGAGGAGTGGTGGGAAGGCAGGGTCAAGAGGGTGCCCCTGGAGTGGATGGAGTGCCTGGGAAGGATGGCGTGCCTGGGATGCTGGTGAGTTTGCAACTGTAACCTTAGAGCATCAATAGCAAATGCAGCTTAGGACCTGGAAAACTAAAATGTAGCACAGGAGAAATGGATGTAGTCCAGCTATAGATATTACAGTTTACGTGTACCCAGAGTGGATCATATGCTCCTTTTCATATCTGACATGCACATAGAGGCAGCAGCTGCCTTTACATGGCCAAGTCTGCAAATAAACTGGTGTTCCTAGCCTGACTGATACTTGCATGCACAAACTTCTATATACATCTCTGCAAATCCATCCACGACCAGATGCATGGTGCTTGCTGAGGGCAGAATCACACCACTCCCCAGTCCCCCCAGAAGCTGTGCAAGGGTAGAAAGAGCATCTTGTTTCATAACCTCTTCTGGGTTTCTTTTCTAGGGAGAGCAGGGTGATGATGGGGAAGAAGGTGTGACAGGGATGTCAGGCAAAAGAGGGAACCCTGGTATACCGGGACTCCCCGGGGCACAGGGACCACCAGGATTCAAGGTGAGTTTCTGACTCCCTGAGATACTGCTACAAGCAGTCCAGTCTGTGAGCTTCTTGTCTCTAGAGCTTGGATTCTCCAAGGTCTAATAAAGTCTTGACTCCTGCTGCCATCTTTCACTTAGCTAAAGACTCTATAGATCTTTCTCCCCATCCATCCATCATCCATCCATTTTCATGACGTTCACAGCAGTTGAATGTCCCAGAGACCCCTCCTCCTTTGTCAAAGTTCACTGAGCTCAGGAGCCTACAGATACACATACTCACACTATGAACACTTTAGCCTTCTTTCATTAGAAACCTGGGTAAAAAACATGGCCTTGGAGAAGTTGCAAAGGAACTGCTACAGCCTGCCTGTAGGATGTCCAGGATGGATGACTCCATGGGAAATTTGGGTGTCCTCTAGCTGCTGCCCTGCGAGACTTGAACTGCTGAAGGGAAATTTGTGCTGCTTGTTTTTTAGCGTATATTTACTGGATTGGAATGGCTGGAACCGATATGGGCTTGGACATCGCTCTGGGTGGAAGCAGGGACAAGCTGCTTTAGTGACCTTGGGGTTTTTTCCTGGTCCTTGCCCTGGTCCAGGCTGGCCACAGGATGTAAACTGGACCAATAGCAATTCAGCTGTTTGTAGAAACTCTGTAAATAGGAAGACTTCAGCTGGGTTTGGAGAGGCTATCAGGTCTGATTTAAATTATGCCTCCCATAACACATCACTCTTGAACTGTCACTTGCTGCCCTCCAGCTGCCTTGGGTAGAATAACAGGCTGTTACAAGAAATGACTGAAAGACCCTTGTGTCATTATGACAGATTCATACCCTGGCTCCAGGGAAATTTGTTGCCCCTTTTCCAGCTGCTCAACCATCCTAGGCACTTGCTGCCTTTGCTCCTCTCTCCCAGTCTGCCCAGATCAAGCAGCCAGGGCTTGTACTGCTCCTGGGGCTTGGCAAGGGGAAGAGGTGGGGAGCAAAGTGTGGTGCTGGGTCTCAGAAGCCCCTCTCTTGTCCTTAAGTTGCAGAGTTGGTGCTGGGGAAAATATTGGCTTTGCAGCCTCTGGATTGAAGCCCTCCAGCTAAAGTCTTGGCATGTCTTCAACATTTTAGATGGATTAATCATCAATTGCTAGCCTGCTGGGGGGAAGAGATTATGAGAAATGACAGGGCAGGACAGACAACATATGGAAGAGCAAACAGAAGACATTTCACCCCCCTCGGACCTCACTGTCCTTAGCCCTGACGCAGGCAGTACAGCTCTGCTGAAGCTCCTGCTCTGCATGAAGCTCAGGAGGGGACACAGCCATGCCCATGGCTGGTCTCACCCTGTGCATCCTGCAACAACCCGCCTTAGCAGACCTGAGGCATCTCCTGATGAAACCACATTCCTTATCCTGATGAGCCACTCTTTTCCAGCTTTCCATCTATGGCTATTTTGGCTGAGTGTTGTTATATTTAGCTCCTGTCCTTTGGAATTACTTGAATTCTGTTATTTTTAGGGTGAAAGAGGATTGCCTGGACAGACTGGCCAAACAGGGAAGCGAGGATCATCAGGAGGAACCGGCCTTCCAGGGAGCCCTGGCGATCCGGGACCCAAAGGACAGCCGGTTAGTGATGAATGGAGCTGATCAGACCTGACTCCAAGCTGTCTCCTGCAGGAGAGGGTGCAGATCCACAGGCTGGGATAGCAGGGAGAACCCTGGGAGGCTGTTTTACAGAAGACCCATAACCAGCTTGTGCGTGAGTGGAGGAGTGTCGGCACAGCTCTCTTCAGCATGCACGCCTCCCTGCTCTTCACTGCTCGCTTGTGCACAGAGATATCTAATCCAAGGCAGCGTGACTGTTCACATCACCCTCGTGCCTGTGGTTACGAGGCCGTGGTGTGTGCTGGCAGCCAGGCTGCAGAGCCAGCTCAAACACCCCTCAGCAGTGTCTTCAATGAGAGCTGTTATGAGAGCGGTGCACAGAGCCTGTGGGAGATGTTGAGTGTAGGAGGTGAACTATACACTCCAAGCCATCCAAAAGGTGCGGAGGAGGGTCTGTAGCTCTGCTGGGACATGCAGGAGGTGCAGGAGCGGGCGTCATCGGTGTAGTTTTGAGGGCGGTGGAGCTGTGAGTTCAGAGCACACTGTGGGAGAAACACCAAGAGCCCTCGGTCAAAGCAGAAGTTAAATTCCCACACCTGTCTCCAAGGCAGGCTCCTAATCCTTACTGCTTTTATTTATTGTGCTGGTGGGATTGCCCAGTTTAGCACTGATGTGTCACACTTTATCAGCTTGAGGCTATATTGAGAATACTTAAGCTATTTAGATTGGGACCACCATCAGAGGGTGTAGTTAGGTCACAGATGTAAAACGAACATGAGGAAAAGAGAGATTAGGACTAATACAAAACAAGGGACAAGATAAACCCCAACTACCTCAATTAAAATACACTTGTTTGTGTATTTTATATAAAAGCCTGTGATGGCAGTATTCAAGCTGAAAGACAGTAGCCAACAACAAACTATCATTTTGCCTCTTGTGTCGACAGGCGGCAGGTTCACTTGCCCAGTATTGCCATTGCCTACCTTGCTGCATAACTAGTGATCAGGTCCCCTTAGCTGAGATTACTTTATGGCATTTAAACCCTTCTGACTTCCCATTTACTTTTGCCCAAAATTCCTCTAGAAAGAGGACTTGGTTGGTTCTCCGAACGCGGGAAAGACCTTAGTCCTCCGTTAGTAGCAGTTTTCCTTTCCAGGATCCATAAATGGGCAGTTAAATCAATTTGTATCCTTGGAAAGTTTCTTATGCTCCACCGAGTCCAACCAAGCCCTTTCTTGCCAAGCAATTTCTCACTGTCGTGGCAGAAAAAAATTCCTAACAGTGAGGTCTCTAGACTGACTCTGGAATAGCCTTGTAATAGAGGTGGTGGAAACCCCATCGCTTGAGTCATTTACAACACGGCTGAACAAGACATTGTAAAACATCCTGTAAATTACAATCCAACATGGGTCACATAGTCCTGCCGAGAGTCCAAACAAGCCTTTTCCATCTCTGATGTTCCTAACTCTGTAGATGAATCATCTGGTGTATGTTTCTGCCCTTTTTTTTAACATTGAATCATTTCACATTTTGACATCTGAGAAGCCCAGAAATATCAAAGGACATACATCTCAAAGGTGGTGAAATGAGGGTGTTTATATAAGGACATGCTACCCAGTGGTTTTTTTTATTCTCAGAGCGTGTGCTATGTGCTAATCCAAGCTTGATGGCCTTCCAAATATTTTATTATTATTTTTCTTACGAAATTGAGCAAAAATCCCTGCAGCGTTGAATAGGAAAAAAATTAGAGGATATGCATGGTTTTCCTGGGTTTGAGTGGGAGGTTATGTTGTAGGAACATGCACTTTTTTGACAGCTTGAATGAGCATAGTTTGAAATTATCCTTTAGTAGATCAGTGCAATTGGTATTAGAAATAAAAGAAGAGCTTTTTTAAGCTTTGGGCTTTGAGGGCCTTTTTTTTGCAGCGTGAACTTCCAAGATCAATCTCAGAGTAGATGCTCTCCATCCTGCTTCTGCTGACTGTGGTCCAAGCTAGACAAGCATCTGCTAGAAATAGTGTAGGTAGGCCTCCCATTTGGGGGGCAAAAAGTCTTGGTCTATGACACCCAAGTAATCAACATATCTATGAGATCCTCTGGAGTTGCTTCTAGCCTGATGTTTGTGTAATTCCTCTGTCAGATTTCTTTCATACTTCTTTCTCATCAGCCCTGCTTAGACTGAAGAATACTAATGGATTTTTCTTTCTCTGAAGCTGCTGAACTCTTGGCGCATCTTTAAGTGACCAGCCATTCAATGTGAACTTACTGTTGTTCTTTGTTCTTGTATTTGACTTGGCTGTTATTTGCAGGGAGACTTTGGCGAGGCAGGATTTCCAGGGATTGCGGGCATGTTTGGGCCAAAGGTAAGAGGCTGTCTTGTGACCAGTTGGCTTTCTAGTCTCTGTTTACTGGGGACAGACAATGCAATAATTGTTGCAAAGACTTTATTAGCAGCTCTGCAGAAATTATTGAAATTGAATCATGATTCCAACTTTCTTTAGTTTATGCATCTTCATTTGTTAAATGAGCGTGCATTTACATGTGCTTTGTTGGAGCTTATTCCTGTTGAAATGGGTAGACGGTAGAGGGAAAAGGGCTGTCCTGTAGACCTCAGAGCTGTTTTCCCAACCTGAACGTTTTTCAGGCACTTTTATTTCCAGCATCAGTCATCAGTCTGTACCTAAGATACCGATATGCATTCCTAAAGTTGAGAGCCTTGATTTGAAATTTAGACTCATTTTATCAGCATATAATTTTCCTGGTGAAGGAGGACCAGTGTGTTTTCTGTAGAAAATAAAGGGTTTGCAAAACAGGAGTGGGAAAAGAATTTTTTAAAAATTGGACCTTCCCATTCCCACACACAAGAGGCAGCACCTCTCTCCTTGCAGCAGAGCTGTAAGCAAGGGCATAAACATGGGCTATGTTTATTAAGGGGACCTGGCATCTTATTTTTGCTTGCAGGGCCCCCCAGGAGACCTTGGTTTCAAAGGCATTCAGGGACCACGTGGGCCGCCTGGTCTCATGGTGAGTGGTTTTTCAGTTTGTTTGGTTTGGAAGGATTTTCTTCCTTCCTTCATCCTCTATTTCTGTGAGGCTACAGGGTGCTATAAGGAGCACAGTGCACTGTTCACCGCCTGCCCGGCAGACAAGCCACAGCCGTGGCACCACCTCTGAGCCACCAGAACACATCTGAACACATCTGAACACATCTGTAGGTGACCACGTATGCAACAGTCTCTTCTGCCTTGGAGACAGTCATGCTGCTATGACCACAGCACAGACCACCCCAGCCTCACTGAGGTCTTTCTATTTCTGGAATTTCTGAGGTTTTACATGGGTCGTGACAACTGTACTGTGAGGGCTTGTGTCTTTGGACCTATGTTTTGAAACAGTTTGATTTCAGCTACAGCGAATACCACTATCATGTTGCTCAAAAGCAGCAAAGAGATTCAGTGTCTTTACTGAGTCTGCTGTGGTAAAAGCGACCGTCAGTTCCCGTGTGATGGTTTACACCTATCTTTTCTTTTCTAGGGAAAAGAAGGAATTATTGGTCCACTTGGCATTCAGGGTCCCACGGGAAGCCCAGTAAGTATCTGCACTTTTTTCTGCCTGTATTTCTTAGAAGAGCGTAGTGTTTGAGATCCAAGATGCTTGAGGCCAGCATAATTAAATCCCAAGTTCTGCTGTAATGAGGGAAACAAAATGGTCTTTAAGACAAGCAGCTTGAGAGAAGTGCAGGTTTAGTCTCTGGCTGCATATATAGTTGCAGGGAGATTATTAGCTTAAAAGTGATGAGCAACTCTACCTAAGTGCAAGTTTTTCAATAGATTGGCTCAGACTAGAAGACAAGAATGTTACTGCAGTTTTTCAAAAGCAAGCTGCCAGATTTTCCAAAGAACTTGGCCTGAGGGGGGCAAAAAACCACAGGAAAAAAAAACCAAAAAACTGATAAATGTATTAAACTGGGAACAGCTTGATTCTGGGAAGTGTTGGAAAATCCCTGCCTGCCCCAAAATGCCAAAGGCGCTGAGCACAAACTAAAGTTCAGGTCAGTGCTTCATAAAAACATGATCATGAAGCTATTCAGAGTTCAGTACAGAGGCTGCTACTGGCAGAGACGAAAACCAGTAAGATGAACTCGGCATTGCCAAAACATCCAGTAATGGCTGGTTTTTTTGCCTTGGGATGGGTGGGCCAATATGGCAACCTGAGCTGATTTGTTTAGTGATGCACTTGGGTCCTTCCAAGGAGCTTCTGTGTGGCAACACATGCCGGCAGTGCAGCTTGCTGTCACTGACAGCTGCTTCGTGTGCTTTAACAGGGGCCCAAGGGAGACAAAGGCAGCCGCGGAGAAACGGTAAGTGCTGGTCCGCACCCCTGGGTGCGTCCTGCTCTTAAGACGGTCCCTCTCTTTGAGCAACCGAGAGTCACGCCGGGCTCCGCTGCACCCGCTTGGGCTCTGGCCCAGTGCGGTGGCATTAGGCTCCCGCAAGGGCAAGATAAACGCATCTATACATGTGTGCACACGTATGTGCATGCACATCCACACGTGCGCATATACACCCACTCTGCTGTTAAAATTTCCATTTACTTAACCCAATTACGCAGCAAAAGCTAACATGTTACCGTGTTAGCGATGACCGTGGCGTCTCCAAGAACAAACCACAGTGAATGGCAGCTCAAAAAGCCACAGGCTGCCCAGGCCAGGGGCACAGGACCTGTCTAAGTAGCAGCATTGCCTGGGTGCAGCCCCCACAGCTGGTGCAGCAGTGCCAGGGCATGTTCTCGCCTTCTGCTCTTCCTCTGGTCCCCTTCTTGCAGGGGCTCTGATGGACTTTTGCGCCTTCTCGTAGCTCCTTGGTGTTCTTATACAGGGGATGTGTGGGGTATACTGGATACATGTAGTTCATCCTCCTTGTTTCCCATGACAAGGGTCCCCCTGCTCTCCAGGTTACTTCCTTTGGCAACCAGTGGTTGTTCCTGCACACGGGGGCTTGGGCCAGGCATCGGAGCCCAGCAAACACAGCTGTGTGGCTAGTGCAGAAGGCTGTTTCATGCCTTCTTCAAACGAGACCTCTTATAAGCAAATGCCCCACAGATACCAAAAATCCCAGTGCACATTTCTAACAAGCCAGGGCGCTGCCTCTGTTTCTTCTTGCTCACCATTTTCTACCTCCATGGGCGCAGCAGAGGACAGCGTGCTGGTGGGGACCTGAGCCCCAGAGGAAGAATTCGCTGGTGTCAGAGCCATCAGCATCCTTTGCTGCAATAACCTCTCTGCTGTTGGCAGACACTGTTGGGTCCCGGTTTTCACTGTCCTTCCACTGCAGCACCTAGCCATTGTGCAGGCACCTTGGGAGCAGCACGTGGCTGTACAGGGAGATTTTGGTTTATTAATGAGCATCTTCTGATGGCTTCTGCCTTGTTTCTTTTTTTTTCTTTTTTTTTTTTTCTTTTTTTTTCCTGCAGGGTCTGCAAGGTCCAAGGGTGAGTATTCAAAATCACTTTTTCTGACTAATATCTTTTATTTAAATAAAACAGTTGCTTTTAGCAAATGTAAAGCTGCAGGGTGGGTAATTGTGCATACAGGGAATGCAATGAGTACCTGGGGGTATGGCATTAATGATAGTTAAGGAGCTAAGGGCTGGGAACAAGGGATACAGTAGGAATGGACCAGGTGCAGACAGATGTACCCAGAGTTGGGAGCTGGAGGAAATAGGTCCACATCCTGTCTCCTGAAGGGTTTAAGGGAGAAGATGCTGTAAAATGTCAAAAATCTGGAGGATTTCAGCAGGAAACAGACTCATGCTAGTGACAACCATGAGAAATGGAAACAAAAACTGAAGACATTTTACTAACTGATGCCACTCTGTCTTTAGGGTCCTCCAGGCCCACGAGGACACCCTGGCCCTCCGGTACGTATACATGGAAAGAGTTCAAAGACATTATTGAAACAAGCTAAAATTATTGCTGTGATATTCTCCAGGGGGACTGTTCACTCACTGGAAATTACAGCTTAGCCCCATTCCTCATATGCAAAAATGTGCGTGTGAATGGACCAGTGTTTCTTGCGCTTTAGTCCAAACCATCTCCAAATATTTTATAGAGACAGCATTGTTGCCTCTCTCACTCGTCTGCATTGAGGGACTCCAAGGGAAAGAGGATTTCAAAAGGACGTGACTGAATATCTTTGCAATAGTGACTGCCCATCTTTCTGGCTGATGCCCCTTTTTTGCTTTGATTTGTAGGGACCGCCAGGAATTCCAGCCTCATTTGTAAGTTGCCATTTTCTGTACGTTTGTTAATGATGATAATAAGTCACGCAGAGCCAAGGTGCTGATGGGACATCCAGAAAGAGCTGCTGGGACCCTGAAGACACACACTCAGGTCCAGCAAGAAATGCTATGTTAGCAGAGCAATGCTTGAATCACAGCCCTAGACCGAGAAGCATTTGCTTGCATCAGGGCATGTTCAACTTCTAACAATCTCAGTTACCATCTTTTTCACCCCACACTAGCAACAAGACAGCTTTGGGGTAGCCTTCCAGACGCTAATCGACTCGAACACCGCGCTCAAGACAGAGGTACGAGGGTACTTTTGAACTCACTGGTCTTTGCTGGAGCTGGAGGCTGGGAACAGTCACAGTGTTGCTTGTTCTTTCTGTATGCTTAAAGTTTATATACACAAAGCTCTGGTTTGTTGCTGTTCTCATGGAATAACTGGGGTTTATGCATGCAGAGATCCAGCTAAAGGAGGTGGTTCTGTTGTGTTACTCTTTTGTGAAGATTCAGACTTTGCCATCCTGACTTTGCCAGCGCTTCAAAGATGTCCCGTTCAGGATGGTGCAAGGGCTGTAGCTCGCTGGATCCCAGCCAGCATGGCCTGTCTTTGGCCCACTGAATTTTCCCACAGATGAACCTGAAACCCTTGTGGTTACAGCACCTGGTGCCCCCCAAGGCACACCTCACTTTGCCTCCTTTCCTCTCCAGGGTTACCAACATCCAGAAATTCTCACGCTGGACCACGGAGGGGAGATCTTTAAGACTCTACACTACCTCAGCAACCTCATTCAGAGCATCAAAAGACCCCTGGGAACTAAGGAAAACCCTGCACGCATCTGTCGAGACCTCATGAACTGTGAACAGAAGATGAATGATGGTAGGAAGCCCTGAGTGTGCAAAGGCTGCATCCTCCATAGGGCCATTTCACATGGCCCAAACAGGTCTCATTCCCTGGGACCAATAATGCAGAAATCAAAACTTTCCTTTTCTCACAGAAAAGGTTAAGAGTCCTTGTTAATCCCTGAATACTCTGTTTCTTCAGGTACCTACTGGATTGACCCAAATCTTGGCTGTTCCTCGGACACCATACAGGTCATCTGTAACTTCACCAATGGTGGGCAGACGTGTCTCAGCCCCGTCACCGTCTCCAAGGTACACACAGCTCGATCCCAGCACAGCATTTCCCATACTACTATTATGAAATATTTACCCAGGGGTGTGTTGTCCCAGAACACCAGACGGTGACCGCTATGACACAGCACACTGGTTTCTCCTCGAGGCAGAGGTAGTGTAGCTGTAACATTCAGAACGGCTCTCATGCAGTTAAAAAATATACCTAAGACTGTTATTGACTCTTGTCAAGACAAAGCAGTTTCCAGCAATGTTTAGTTAACCCATAACCTTAATAGAGGCCAGTAATTTTGCAAACACGCTGCTCCCAAACGCTTTGTTGAATTAACTTATGTTCAGGTCACTCTTGCACTTTGTTTTCTGCCACCTGAAAAAGTGAGATCAGCTTAAATATATGAGTTTCCAGTGAAGTTAATGCTACAGAATTTTTCTTGAGGAAGCAGCTGTGCCAGAAATACCAATAACAATACCTGGGTTCATCTGCAGATGAACTAGAACCTGCTGCTTTGCTGCTTTTCTTCTTTGCAGAAGCGTGTATTGAATTCAAAGTTTACATTATTTTCCTCCTACTTAAGGACCTGCCAGTTTGTTCTGAAAAATAAAGGACCTGCTGTGCCCCCATGAAAACTTCCCAGATTGACTTGGCATCTGGCCCTTATGCCCATACTCACTCCAGATCCGGTTCTGGACATCCATGCGTGGCCACCTCCAGACTGAAGCCCAGTACAGGGACCACCTTTGCTGTCGCATCTTGCGCTAACCCCGCCGCTAGCTCCCTCCAACCCCACTGCAGGGGTACACCCTAACATCTCTGTCACCTTCACAGCTGGATTTTGACATCGGTAGAGTCCAGATGAACTTTCTCCGCCTCCTGAGCTCAGAGGTGGTGCAGCACATCACCATCCACTGCCTGAACACCTCCGTCTGGCGGGAAGGCTCATCCGAGAAACCTTCAGAAAAAGCCGTGCGTTTCAGGGCCTGGAACGGACAGATGTTTGAGGCAGATGGGCAGCTCAGGCCAGAAGTGGCAGCTGATGATTGCAAGGTACGTTGCTGGGAAAGAGGGGAGAGATGGAGGGAAATGCCGGGCTGAACCCACTCAGGACACATGGCAAGGCTTGAGTTGTACCTATGCTCCTTATTTTCCCCCCAAAAAGGGGAAGAAGGGTCTAGTTTACCTATTCACCACTTTAATTTTCCAGTCCAGGGTGCTATAGCGACTCCTGTTACGTAGATTGCCTTCAAACAGAAAGCAAAAAATTAAGTTCCAAAGTTTCATGTCAGGTGTAGCAGCAGTTAAACAGCAGAAGAGGGAATTGCCACCCAAAGGCGGTGGTCTTGGCTCTTGCCTGATGCCACACTGAGTCGGTAGCCATGTGTCTGCATTTTGGGTTTATTGCATTAGGAGTTTGTGTTTGGTGACGCTCAGTTGCCATCAACTTGACCAGGATAAAGGGTTCCCCAAAATGCTTTCTAAACCTCACCCCACACCCGCTCAGCCCAAAGGGCAGTCCTTTGTCTCATGCAGGGCTTTTCAAGCTTATACCTCATGAAACACATTCCTTTCCAGCAGGATTCATCCCCCAATTAAACAGCTTTTTCTCTGTCCTTCCTCCCTGGCCAGATCAAGGATGGACGCTGGCATCGGACTCTATTTTCATTTCGGACACAGGACCCTCAGCAGTTGCCAATTGTCAACATCTACAACCTTCCCCCATCCGAGCCAGGAAAACAATATCACCTCGAGGTCGGCCCCGTGTGCTTCCTTTGAACAAAGCCATCGAAACCGGGCTCCAAGGCTTTGACCCCGTGTTTGGCCTATGTCTTTACACAGGCTCTCCCACCTCTCTGCAGCAAGGACAACTGGGCTGTATCTTTGGGTCAACTCTTGCTCTAGCCTTTGGCTCAAGGTCTCAAAGAACCCGTTATCTACTGAACTCAGCAGATTGTTGAAAGGAGGAATAACAAGGACGTAGGAGAAGCGGGTATCAGTCGGGACGTGAACAGTGAAAAGGGATCAGGGGACTAGATGTTGCAAGCGGTTCCACACACAAAGCTTTTTCCATGACCAAAGAAAATATTGAGAGAAACCTCAAGCAACTTGCAGCGTGTGGTTTGTTTTTCCCCTCCCCCCCCACATTTTCTCTTACCTGGAGTTACCAAATGTTCTTTCCATTGAAAAGTAATTAAAAGATAGAGCTTCCCTCTCAGAGCTTGTTGCCTTCTGGATGGCCATGTGCTGCATCAGGTCTCCCAGGCGGAGCTGCAAGTTGAATCTGGCTGCTCTGTGTACCGGAAGCATTTTGATGTGCAATATTAGAAGAAACAAAATATATATATATTATATTATTTAAAGCAAAAAGAAAAAGGAAAAAAAAAAAACAAAAAAAAAAAAGAAAAAAACTAAGTTCCTCCTTCCATGGGTGAGTTTAATCAACACCCCTTCTCATGTGTGGTGTTGGGGTAGGGGAGAGTCCCGAAGCCAAGACAGGGGAATGGAAGGAGGAGAGGGGAAGAGATTGGTGCTAAAATAGAGAGAGAGGATGGGCTCGTCTGATTTGTTTCTACCTCTCACTGTGAAATCTCTGGTGCTCTTAAAAAAGTGTGTTATTTTATATATATGACTTTATTTAAGGTTGTGAAGGTGCTACAGTGTCTTGCCACAGACCCAAAAAAAAGCCCATAGGACCATCTCTCTAGGAAGAGAGGAGGTTACAATCTACAGCTAAGTCAGAGAAACAGTCACCTTTAAAGGGATCCTTTAACTGCCGTGGATGTCAATTGTGCGCAACAACTCAAACCATGTCCAAAATAACTTACAGGATATTTTAAAAGCAAATTTGTTTGGGTGGTTTTTTTTGTTAATCAGCACTTCACTGCTTTGGGAGGGGAGTGAGGGATACAGCTCATCTGGAAGCATTGAGCCTCAGAGAGAGCTATTTTTGAGTCGGTTGTCACTAGTTTTGCTGTAGTCGCGTTGGCCACATGTCCGTGCTGGCTTGCGTGCGCAGTGATTCCCTGGTCTAAGCTCGTATTTAAACCCAGCTCTGCAACCCTTCTGTCTGGCCCCTCTGTCAAGACTGACATGATGGTACCTTGTTTCAGAACCCAGCCAGGCTTGGAGGGATTTTGTTTTGTTAAGTTTTGTAGAAATTTAGTCTCTATATGTAAATTTGGAGGATTTTTTTTTTTAAAGAGGATAATTATGGTAATCTTTAATTCTATATAAGGAATAATATTGATGTAATCAGAGCTGTACTGTATCGGAAATGCTTCAGTGCCTGTTTGGAGTTTTCATGTCTCATATGGACTATGGATTTTATTTTTTTGAGGAAAAAAAAAAAATTATATGTGAGTCTCTCTTTGTGTATTCTTTTTTTTTTTTTTTTTTACTACTGCCTGCTGGTTGGTTTCCAACAACCATCGGAAAAGTTTAACAAGGATCTATCCCAAATACCTCACCCTCCACGCAGCCCTGCCTCTGCTCAGAAATACCTCACCCCTGCGCGGGGCCAGCTTGCCCCGGCACCCCCAGGCCAAAATCACCATCACTCATTGCCTGCTTGCTGCCTTCCCCTGCACACACACTCCTAGGTTGCTCCCTCTCTTGTCCTCTCACCATTGGTTTTGTGTGTTTTCTTGAAGCTGAAGTTACCATTTGTTCTCATTAAAGCTTTTTTTCCTTTTCTTCCTTTTTTTTTTTTTGGACGTTAAATAAATATTTAAAACTGAGGCAATGAAATGGGACTGGTATGGTTTTTTTGCTTCTTCATGGGAAGCTAAGTGGGCAAGAGGTACAGAAATACCCTGTTGCTCAGGGTTGATGATGTTGGTGTGACAGCCCAGAGACCCCCCCCCCCAGGTGACCCAGGGAGCCCAACCCACCCCCCAAAACCCTTCCTCCGGTGCCGGTCACAGCATAACCTGCCCAACCCTCAGCATGATGCTAAATGCACAACAAGGCTCTGCTATGCATCACCCCATGCCTCTTCCATGTCCCCGTCCTGACAGTGCTGAGGAGCAAGAAGAAAAGAAAAAAAAAAAATAGCTGAGCTGATCTTTTTCATTGCTGAAGCCCAAATCCCATTTCAGTTGCTCCAAGCCAACTTCGAAACCCAACTTCTCCTTCCTTAGGAGGTCTCCTGGCCCCAGCCCAGCCTCAGACGAAAACCTCACGGCTGTCTCGGCTGCCACAGGCAGCACGCACGTTGGAGACGGCAGCGAAGCCCCTGTGGGCTCGACCCAGAGGAGGGGGACATAGGGGTGACCCCCACACACACACACACCCCCTTGTCACACCGTGCCACAGGAGCTATCTTGGCTGCTCCTGGGTTGCGTCAGGGGCAGCGGGAAGGGGCCGGGCTGTGTTTGTTCACACCGTGCTGTGCCCCTTCCTGGCAGTGATCCTGCGGCTGGAGGGGCCAAGGGACCCCCCCCCGGCACAGTGGGTGCTGGGACCTGGTGCCAGGTCAGGTTTGGCAGCACATTAAAAATTGGCACGGTTGGGGCTGAGCGGCTCTCACGTGAGCCAGATGTTCCTGAAACACGTCGCTTGTGGTCGGTGAAAAAGCAAACACATTTACTAAATAAATCAATGCACTTAACTATGAGGCCAAAGTTGGAGGAGCTACAAGACACTGTTAAATAGAGAGCTCTGCATTTAAAGAAGCTGTAATTAATTTATTTTTGTTAAAAGTCTGAGCCTACTGCACCAGTTATTCCCTTGCCACATACCACCCCCCCTCCAGCCAGAATTTATTAAAGAAGTCCCTGTCTCTACCAGTTACTTTAGATTACTTAAAATTATCAGTTATGTTATCAGCATCCACAGCCCAAAGGCCACTTCATCACTGCAAGGCTGGGCTGAGACAAGCCCCAAGCAGCAAGCACCGCAAGGCCATGGGCATGCAACAGGGAGCTCAGCTGGAAAGGGGGTAAAGAAAGAAAGGGGAAAAAAAGAAAAAAAAAAAAAAAAACCAAACCCAAATTTCATGGCTTAAGGGATCTCACCACAGATGCTGGCGTAGGGTCAGCTCAGGAAAGTGGCACCACTGGGGAGGAGAAGATGTTGTTGGGTTTTTTGTTTTGTTTTTTTTTAATGGTGCAGCTTATCATAGAATCATAGAATGATTTGGGTTGGAAGGGACCTTTAAAGGTCACTTACTTAAGTGCAATAGCCCCCCCCCAATGAGCAGGGACATCTTCAGCTAGATCAGACTGCTCAGAGCCCCGTCCAACCTGACCTGGAATGTTCCCAGGGTTGGACCATCTACCACCTCTCCAGGCAACCTGTGCCAGTGTTTCACCACCCTCACTGTAATAAATTTCTTCCTTATATCATCTGAATCTACCCTCCTTTAGTTTAAAACCATTACCCCTTGTCCTGTCACAACAAGTTCTTCTAAAAAGTCTGTCCCCATCTTTCTTATAAGTGCCCTTTAAACTTGGAAAGGCTGCTATAAGGTCTCCCCGGAGCCTTCTCTTCTCCAGGCGGAACAACCCCAGCTCTCTCAGCCTTTCCTCATAGCAGAGGTGGTCCATCCCTCGGATCATTTTTGTGGCCCTCCTCTGGACCCGCTCCAACAGGTCCATATCTTTCCTGTGCCGAGGACTCCCACCTTGTACAGGGCCTAATCCTGCTGCGCACACTGAACCACAGAGCCAGGTCACAGCCCCATCCCCAGCAGCACCCACGTGGTCCGTCCCCCCCCCTAGAGCACACGTGAACCCCAGCGCCAGCCCCGTGCTCCGGCGAGGAGCGAGGCCGGTGCAGACCCAAAGCCCTTACAGCCCCGCAGGTGAACGACTACCACCCAACCACCGCCGTGGGGATTTATTTGCCCTGTGGAGGAAAGCCACGTCCAGGTCCCATTCAGTGCCCCCGAGGCCACCAAACACACCTGGAGCCGGCCGAGCGCTTTGCCAGGCACTGCAAAATTAATTGCAGTTTCCGAGAACAAAAGCCCATATTGGTGAAACATAGGGGTTGGGGGTTTTTTCAGGTTTTTTTCACGTTTTCTGCTGGAGAAATCCAAGGTTTTGCAAGTTTAATTTCCTCCATCTGCTATTGCTTCATGCCTGAGCAAACAGCCCAACGGCTGAACAAGCACATTGGGGCTGGGGACATCCAGCTTTGTAGGCGGCCGTATATAAAGGACGGAGCCGAGCCACGTCCCGTCAGAGCAGGAGCCTCCTCTCGGCCGGCCAGGCGATGCTGGCCTCCCTCGCCCTCCTCGTGGGGCTGCCGCTCGCCCTCGCCGCTGAGCACCCCAGCTGCGCCCCGCTCGTCCCGGTCACCTTCGACAATACCACCATCCCTGGGGTAAGCCCTGCCCTCAGCCTGTCCTCGCCTTTCCTATCAGCATCGCTAGCCGCTACGGGTGCAGGAAGAGGTTATGAACCCAGTCAGCAGCTCAGTGCTTATCTCACTGCCTGTCCATGCTTATTTTCCTAAAAAAAAAAAAAATCACGACTGCTGCACAGGAGCGTGGGGAAGGGGTGAAGCCTTGCAGCTCTGTACCCATAATCTCGTGAGCAGGCGCTTTCAGGGGGCTCCTGCTTCCATGTCTCCGTGCAAACCAGGCTGGGCAGCACCATCCCAAGTCTTTCACCACTATTTTAAAGTCCTTCAAGTGCCAGGCACTTGAGTCACGAGTCTCCATCTGCAAAACCCTTCACTGCATAAACAGTATTTAGTCCCTTGGGGATGTTTAATGGGAGGAAAGCAATGAGAGCCAGGCACAGAGCAGGAGGGACACCACCGCAGAAACAAGCTGGCCATCCCGGGAGCTGGAGCATTGCCTTAGCGGGGAGGGGACAAAAAAAACCAAGAGCCCCTCACCCAGCCCAGACCTTGCCCAGGGCGCTCACCTACCAGGGGTGCTCGTGGCTGTGGGAAGGCAGGGCACAGCATCTGGTTTTACTCACATGGTGCCCACAGGTGAAGCCGGCATGGCCCCCCCTCAACCCTTCCCCACTCCCCTCTTTTCCGCAGCTCCTGGGAAAATGGTTCTACATGACCGGCGGCTCCAAGTACCCACCTCACGTGGCAGAGATGAAGGTGGTGAAATACGCGGTTTTTTCCTTCTTTCCTGGCAGCCACAAGGACGAGCTCAATGTCACCGAAAGCATGAGAGTGTAAGTATGGGGATTCGCCCCCTCATCTGGTTCCCCCAACCCTAGGGGCATTTCCACCCACTGGTGCCATCCTCTGGCCTGAGACACCCCCATAAATTTGGGGCTGGAGAGCAGCTATGCCAAATTTATTTAAGCTCTGCAGCCCGACTTGAGTTCTGAATCCCTCGGGTTTGGTTGGGGCAGTTTGGGGGGGTATTTGCCCCATCTGACCTCTCTGTCCCACAGGAACGAGACATGCGTGGTGAGGAACACCACCAAGATCCAGATCTTGTGGCACAACTCCACCCTGATGCACGGTAAAGCCCCAGCCGTGGCGCAGGGCTGGGATGGGGGGGTGGGCACCAGATGCACCTTGCACCCTCCCGCTTCTGTCCCCTGGTATTTGGCACCCTGAGCCTCCAGCACCAAGCCCTTTTACACCTAAAAACTTGTCTGGAGATGGGGGAAAAAATTTCTTCCACCCCATGCAATGGGTATGGTAGTGCTGTGGGACCGGACTGGTCCCCACTGGGATGAGTCTCCCAGGGTAAAGGGGATGAGCTGCCCCCGCCACGCTACCAGCTCTGCCCCGGCTGAGCCCCAGCACAGGGTGACGCTTACCAACGGGGAACCCCGCTCTCTCCCTGCGCCTTCCAGTCGATGACCAGGTGGTTTCCACGGCTGAACTGATCCAAAGCGACAAGGACCTGCTGATCCTGAAGCACTTCAACGCCAACATCCTGGGTCTGAGCCTCTCGGGTGAGTGGATGCAGCCCCAGATCCGTGGGGCACATCCCTGCCCGGAGACATATCGATGGGCATGGGCATCCCCAGTTCTCGCAGGCAGGGCAAAAAGCCCCTTTTCCCCTGATACGGAGAGGGGAAAGACGGGGGCGGGCAGGCGGCGAGCTCCCTGTCCGCGCTATGGGGACCACCAAGGAGCAAAGCACCCCCTAAAACTCTCTTCCCCCCCCTTCTCCTTTTACTATCCCATCTCTCTGACAGCACGGACGCCCAATGTGAGCAAGGAGCACTTGGAGGAGTTCAATGCCCACCTGCGCTGCCTGGGCTTCACCGAGGAGGAGGTGTTCTTCACTTCCGAAAAGGTATCAACCCCTCCCCAGGGTGGGTGAGCCCCAGCCCGGGCCAGCTTCTGCCACCGTCTGGGATGGGGGTCCAGGTGGGGGTTGTAAGATGAGTTCCCTACCACAGCTGCCCCTCTGTGCGTCCCCTCTCCTCCCCAAGCATCCACCCTGGCCGTTCCTGGCTCTTCGGGTGGTTTTGGGGTGAGGGGGAACAGACGGCCGCTCTCCCCATCTCCCACAGGACGCCTGTCCCCTGCCTGGGGAGAAGACAGGAGAAGGCGATGAGGAACAGCAGCTGGGGTAAACCCCGTGGGCTGGGTTGGCCACTCCATCCTCATCCTCCTCCAGCCCCTCCACAAGGGTGCCAGCCAGGCTCAGCTCAGCCTCAGGACTTTCTATCAATGTTTCGTTTTTTCCTCCTGGATGAAACACCCAGTTTTCCTGTTCTCGTCCAGACCCGAAATAAACCTCTGTGTTACAACCACCCACCACTCCTGCTGCATCCTCGCCGGGAACGAAGGCAGGACCCCCTCCTGCCTGCCCTGCCCAGAATGCCACATCTCCAAACCCACTGAGAGGTGTGAAAAGCCCCGGAAAAACCCCACCAGGGCCAAGCGTGGCAGCAGGCATGGAGATGCTCGTCCCTCCCACCAGCTCCATGGTGGCACGGGACCCTCCCAGCCATCCCACCCGGCAGGTCCCCTCCAGCCATGGGACATCAGGACACGAGCACCCACCCATCAGCCCCGACCCCACAGGGAGATGCACAAACCTGCCGACCCCCTCGGGTCTCCTCTGCCGTGACTCAAACCAGCCAAGGTGCTTTTAGCACCTGAACATCCCACCCTGAATTTTCAAGCCAAATCCCACGAGGCTTCACCCGCATCATGGGCTTGCGCAAGGGTCGTAGCGGGTGGGGTGACACGAGGTGACATCGTGCCTTCCCCGGGTGTCTCTGAGCAGGGCAAGGGGGAGAAGACGGGAAAAAACGTTACCCAGGGCCAGAGCAAAGGACTCGGGGAGGCTCCACTAGCGCAGAGGAAAAGGCAAACAGAAATAAAGCCAGAAAAGCAGGTCCTGCTCTGCGTGGTAGCATGGGGACAGCAGCGGGACGGGGAGTCAGGGGAGCTGCCGCAGGGGACACATCCAGCAGGACGGGGGCGACCTCCTGGGGCCCCTTCAGCCCCATTTTTATGGCCTGTTTTGGACAAGGACAGCAAAAACACCTTCCCTTCTCTTTGAAGCCCTCCTGGGCTCCACTCAAGGCAGGGGGGGCTGCATGGTGCCTCATTAGTGAAGCAAGAGGCAGCTACGGCGGGTGCTCGCAGGGAAAAAAATGGGCAAATTTAGGGCAGATTTAAGTTTTAAATGCAGCAAGTGCATTGCCCCCATCACCTCCGGCCACGCCAGCAGCCCACAGCTATCAGTGCTGGCCACCGGTGGCCGCAGCCGAGGCCAGGGCAAGTGCCGAGCTCAGTGCTGGGCACACGGCTCTTCTCCGGGCAATGTCCCCAAAAGGTGCTGGTTGCATCACCGGTGCAGAGCTGGCAACCGCCAGCACGTCCCGTCCCCTCCTCGCAGGGCTGCAAAAGCAAACGGCCGAGCAAGCGTGTCCGTCTGTCCAGGGCTTCACTTGCTCCTCGCTTTCGGGCAGCCATGGCCGGGATCGCTGCCGTCCTCAGCCTCACGTCGCTGCTGCCCACGGCTGCCTTTCCCTGCGGAGCCCCACGCCTGCAGCACCCGGACAACGCCACGGCATCGAAGGTAGGAGAGACCCAAGCTGCCGGGGGGCTGCCCCACTCCTGCAACGAGTTTGCGGGTGCTCTGATAAGCCTCACTGTCCCCTGGGAAAGAGGGAAACCCTCCCTTTCCCCCTGGCACATCTGCCAAGGCACCATCTGCAACAAACGGGAAACACTTGCTTTCCAAAACACCTCAGATTACCCAGTTTTCTTGTGGTCTTCCACCAAGAAGGTGACCTTAAAACAAGGGGGGCTGGCTGGGTATTTTTTGGTGCAATTCCCCCAGGGAAGCACGGGGCTGTCCTGGCCCTGCTGCACTGCGCAGGAGCACGGGAGCCAACACTGGCACCGTTTCCCAATCCCCACATTCAGCTATTTTTTTTCCCCCATACATTTGCACAGGTTTCATTTTCTTGCTGCCAGTACGGTGCAAGAGGGAGAACTAGCAGAGGCCTGAGGTCAAAAATAACAATTTTGCCACGGGGAGGCTAGAAATCTCTCCCCCAAACCTCCCCCTGCAAACCCAAAAGCTCTCACCGCCCTGTCTCTCTCTCCCCACAGCTGCTGGGGATGTGGCTGTACGTGGCCGGGGCTGCCCAGTTCCCCCAGCACCTCCTGGAGATGCTGCTCATCGACCACGGCCACCTCCACGTGGAGCCTCACACCGGCGAGCAGGAGCTGCTCATTACCCAGCGCGTGGCCGTGTAAGATGCAGCCCTCGGGTCTCTCTGCCCCAACCCATCTCCTCCCACGTGCTGCAGCCCCCAAAGCCATTTCAACACAAGATATGAGCATGATTTCAGACTGGTTTTCCCAAGGAGAGAGCCTCTCCCAGCTGCTCCGTGCATGCTCTCCCATCCCCTCTCTTCCTCACCCCTTCTTTTATTTATTTCAACAGCCCCCATGTTTAGGCAAATCTTGCAAGGCGCAGAGGTCTTGCGGGCAGCAAGCCCTGCAGGTGTGGATGCTGCAGGACGCAGGCAAGGAGAAGACCTCTCCAGAGGAGAAGACCTCTCCAGAGGTCCTTGCACCACGGCTGCTAACTCTGCTGGGCACCAAAAGCTGTTTTTCCCCCCACCAGGGTCAGACTTTAAGGAGATGAATTCTTCTGTGCCAACACAGGCAGCTCTTTGCAGTTTGGGTTATTTTGGGGTGGAAAACATCTCGCTACCAAGGAGCCGGGGCAAAGGCAATGCAGAGACCACAAGCTGCAGGTGGAGGTCAGACCAAAGGAACAGGAGAAATGGCTTAGTTTTAACAGTGAGAGCAATTAACCCTGGGGAGGAGTGGGCAGGTGCCCTGTGCCAGGGCTTTGCTGGTCCTTTCCAGCCCACGGCAGGGGTCTCTGCTCCCCTTTCCTGCATTACCCCTTCCCCTCTCTTTCTCCAGGGGGGACCAATGTCTCACCAACAACTCCACCTACTTCGAAATCACTGCTGGTAACACCACACTGGTGAAGCAAGGTAAGCAGCACCAGCGGGTACAGCCATCGAGGTTATCACCCAGTCCTTTTTTTGGACAGGCTGAGACATGGAAATGGCCCATGTCCATGTTTTACATCATCTGATGCATTTTATTCCCGGGTCACTTTGTCTCTTTGAAGCCTCAGGGGACTCCCCAGGGCCAGGGGCACCTTGGGCCAGCCCCGCTCCTGGGGCACCCCGGGGATTGTGGCCCCGCCATCAAGCCACACTAAACCCTACAAAGAAATGCCGTGCTGGGAGCAAGGAGCAAACCTGCTCCCATCCCCATAGGAGAAGACCACTTCTTTTGTAAAGTTATTTCACAGTCCCTCAGGGAAAGGAGGGGAACATTCATGGCAGGTTTCAGCAAATTAATGAAGCCTTGCATTCTGAATTGTTTCCTCCTCACTGAGGAAACAGGGTGAGCCACTTGGGGTGGGAATTGCAAACCCCTGAGATGCAGTTTGCACTGACTCAGCCACAACAGCATTACTGCAAGCAAGGAACAGTTTCTCTCCATTTTTGCAGCCCCCTCAAGCTGCGAGGTCAAGCACTCAGGGCCAGGCAGACCCCCTCATACCCCAAGCACCAGCGAGCCAGACCATCCAGCACGTTGCAACAGCAGGACAGGAGCTGGGTGACTTCAGCTCCTTCACACCTCAGGCCCACATTTAAGAAACACAATTCAAATAAACCAGGAGCCAAACAACTTACCTCACGTCAGGACATTTGTCCTCACTTGCTGCTAAGGTCTGGATCCCAGGTGCTACTGGCATTGCGCGCACCTGGGCTGCAGTTTATCCCTGCTGCAGCACTGAAAAATCTGAATATTGTGGCTCTTCCCAACCTGATTCTGTTCTCTCGAAGCCAAGACCCAGCAAACTGTGGGGATGCTGATGAACCTCAGCTCTGAAGACATTTTACTTATCCAGTACCAACTGCAGATGGAAAGAACATATTTGGGACTGTATCTCTACGGTATGCAAACTCCATCCTAAAGGAACTTCAAGCTAGCATGGGACACCAAAACACGCACATATAATTATCAGCTAAAACCGTGCAGCAACTTGGTTTTGCCAACAGTCAGTGATTTTGTGAGACTGCTGCTCCAGTGGTCACGGGAGTATTTACAAACCCCATTTAAACCTAAATCTTTTGGCAGAGTAGGAAGAGCAAGTTAAAGACAAAACCCACTTACACCATAAATATTCAAAGAACAGGAAGCAAATACAATTCAGCATCGATACCATTCTAAAATCTCCATATTTTCAAGCAACCGTGATTTTTTGGCACTTGCCTCCCAGGGCAGAGCACATGGCTTTGCAGTACCAGCACAGGCAAAGCTGATCAGATCTTACCTACAACCCCATAAAGCAGCATTTTAGACCTTGATGAGGCTTCCTGTTGCCCTTCCAAGCTGCAAAGCAGTTGTTTAAGAGAGTTCAAAGACACATATAGAAAACCGCCTCCATAATTAACCTTGGTTCCTCCTGATGCCCCAGGAGCATCAGACTATCCTGTAACCCCTTAGAGCAGACAGGACCAGAGCTGACTGAGGAGAGGGTTAAAAAAGGCAATGCCTGAGGTTGGTTTTGTTCAGGTATATTCACCATGGGGGTGAGAGACCCCGGCAGAGACCACGTCAACAGCAAGCCTTGGTGGGAGCACAGGGAAGGGAGGCAGCAAGGGCAGGGCATGAAGGCCACCGGTCCATATTTAACGCCTGGCAAATGCTTCTCCTTTTCCAGCCCGAAACCTGAGCGTAAGCACAGCCCACTGGGAAGAGTTCGAGCGTCACGCCAAGTGCCTGGGGGTGAGCAAAGAGGAGATCGTGTACGCGCCGTGGAAAACGGTACGTGGCTGCTCGTGGGTGGGCAAGGGTCAGCAGAGCCGCTGCAGCCCCCACCCCTGGCAAGGGTACCAAGACCCTGGGCTGTAGGTCCAGCCGCCAAACAGGGGTCTTGGAGAGACATTTTCAAGTTGGTGGAAATGATTTACGGGACTAAGTAAAGGCAGGATTGCTTCGACAGCGACGGTGGTTTAAAATAACACACCCCCCCAGATACACAACTCCCCAAAGCAAATATCTGCACCCGAGC